TTTCCTCCAAAGTACTATCCAACCGGGCTCTCATGGGATAGAATGTGCTTATTCTTATGTTTTTCCTTGTAGTTCATAGGTTGATAATTAATGCAACAATTATTATTATAACTAACCGCAGTATCTGACTAGACAAAACAACAGTGTCTTCAACTTGGATACCTACAGATTCTTTTCCCGGTTGGGCTCTTTCTATACAGTTTGATGTATGATTTTCTTTGGTTATGTTTCTGTTTAAAGAAAATAGCATGCTCCTTCTGCCAATGCTTTCGTAGCCACGTTCAAGTTCATCCTCGAGGACATAATTGTCGGGCAACGAAGTAGCTTGAGAATATTGAAAATATAAGTTGTAAAATGAGGTAACTATGGAAAATTGAGCTTACAAATGACAACAATATTCATCTTATATCAGATATGCAAACATTAGCTATGACAAGGGCGAACCAGTCACTCTTTTCCTGAATTATTGATAGAGCAATAGATGCTAATTGAGTGGTCCACAATAGAATTAGCCATTAAGGTGGTGTAACAGATCAATGATGATATTGAGATGCATTGTACTATTGTAAAACTATTGTTCAAGCAATGAAGCCAAATGCTTGAGAGATAAGAGGTTATGATCTACCAGCAAAATACTGAGATTTTTTGCAAAGCTAGGGAGAGAATCAGTGACCCAATAATCCATTTTCTACATTAAATTTGAAGGAGGACGTTAGACTTCTGGGTGTGAGTGAGAGAAAAATTAGGGAAGACGCATAAACAATTCTACTGCTTGAAGACTGATCTAGTCAACTAAGAATTTCATTATGAAACGACCATAGTGTCTTCACTACATCGACCAATTAACGTTTTTGCACGATCTCAATTTTCCAAATCAACACATTTTGACAACATGTGTTGGATTTTTTGCACCATCTATCTTCCAAAAAATCTTATCACCCTCTTCCATTAACCTACGAATGAAGTGACATTGTCTTCTAATGTGTTTTGTTTATAAATGATAGACTGTATGACACTCTAGTTATATATATATGTATAACGAAACTTTGAGCATGTGTCATCATACAACACGCAATTATAATTATATGACGGTAAGGCTACTTGCTTGGTTAGCCTAGGCTGGAGCTACTATAACCCTTGATGCTAGCTTAACGCAGCTCTCTGAAATTTAATTCTGCTTAGAAGTCCAACATCATAAATTAGAATTCTACTATAGGAATTGACTCACCTAACTTTGCAGCCTAATTTTGTATAAAATAATTTAAACTTGTTAAACCTATTATGTATAAATAAACTTAATTTAAACTGACTAAACCTAATTATACATAAATAAACTAAGCTTCTAAATTGGTGTGAACTACAGAGGAGAGTTGTACTAGAAATCAGTACATCCTCTTGGCCGGCAAAGCTACGACACTGTTTGGTAGTATTCACTCATGTGCATCAAAATGTTCCCTGACTCGTTAGTCCTTTCTTCCATGACGTTATCTACACTATACACCGGTGTCATGGAGTTTTGCGACCGTTCGTCTCCTTTTCTCTTTCCTTCTCTCTCGTTTTCGATATTTGTGTGTTTTGTGTTTTTGTGGACAGAACGAGGTAGTTGGACTTAATGAGAGGGGGACGAACGTGTCCTTGGGAGAGGTCGGCCAAAAATTCTGCCGACTCGCCAAAATTCTCAGGATTGTCGGCGACCGGTTATTTTTATTATTATTAATTTTGAATTAAGATATTTAATTTAAATTTTTGAATAATACAAACCATAACTATAAGCAATTAAATTGTTTATTGATCAATTTTAGCTAGCTGTGTCCATGCAGATATCTTAACCTCTTTCCAACAACCAATTACATGGATTAGCATGCCCAAACCCTTCTGAAAATGAAAACCAAACCAAACAACAAAAATCTCTTTATTTCTAATCTTAACACGTTCATAAAATTCGACCATCCTTATCACTCAATTATGAATAAACGGTCTCAATTGTCGTATTTAAAATGGCTTCGAGTATCCTCACCATAGCTGCCTGCTCTCTCCTTCTTGACACTTTCCCGTCCACAACAGACCTGATCTTCTCTTGATCCATCTGAATCACACCCTTGCTGATCCAATGGCCAAGAAATAGCACTTTCGTCTGAGCACCGTTTCACGTACAGCTTCTTTTTCTGCTACACCCAGAACACTGAATTCAGATTTTCAAACCTTCTGTTAGTAACTATAAACGATTATGTAAACTCAACTCAATTCAATCCAATCTCACCAATAATAATAATAATAATAATATTACTATCAATTGAATCTGATTAAATCGATTTTATTCGAAATTTGATAATTTTGGAAGCATTATGAATGTTTTGGTAACAACCCCCTAATAGAAAAGGATGGATATTGCATTGAAGGTAGGGATTAGTTGGGTGTTTGGAGCTTAAAGAATAAGAAAACAAAACATTTTTTTAAATAAATAAATAAAATTCCCTATTTTTTTGTTCTATAATAATTTTTCCAATTTTTTTTTTAAATTTAATTTAGCCTTCCTATAAATAATTTTATTTTATTTCCCCTATATTTGATTCAAAAAATCTTAAAATATATACGAAAATTGAGTTATGTTTCGAGGTAAATAAAGGAATGTTTTACGAGCTAACGTTTTATTTTTATTAAAAATAAAAATTTAAATAAATAATTCGAACCATTCAAACTAACCCAACCAAAAACTGGATTCGTCCGAGAATTTTACAACTGAATCCAATTTTCGAACAACTCTAGTATTCTTTAACGACTTAAAAAGTATATCGACCCTATACGCATTGATTAGCGAAATCGAATACCCGATTATTCAAAGAAAAAAAAAAGGTAAGTCAATACCGAAAAACGAGATGATTGAATGAACCAGGAGTTTCACCGAACAAATTTGATGTGGGATTTGGACGTGGGATCTAAAGAAAAGGAAAAGAAAAACATTCTAAGTTTGTTAAAGTTGTAATACATAAGCAAACTCCATTTTATCTCCCAAAAATAATAATAATAATAATAAAATTCCCAATTATTTTCCTCGTTTAGCTTATTTCTTAATCCACTGTTAAAAGAAAATAAATTTAATTTTTTTTTTCTTAAAAATAAATAATAATAACCACCAAATTAATCCTTCTCTTTTAAGCTTATAATTGAAGCAACATAATCCCATCATCAAATGCGCTTCTCTAACCGCAACCGGCCCCCAAAATTCCTCCATTTTTCAATCTTGCTTTTCTACCAATAATTTAATATCAATGCGACTTAACCGAACCGACGTTCTCTTATGTTGAGGATTATTGGGAGTGAGTCCCACATTGGTTAATTTAGTGGAAGATCATGAGTTTATAAGTGATGAATACTATCTCTATTTGAATGACGTTTTTTGGAAAAACCCAAAACAAAGCTATGAGAGCTCACACTCAAAGTGGACGTGGATGATATCATACCATTGTGGAGATCCGTGATTACTTATTTATCTTTTATAAGAAAAGAGACTATCCTCGCAAACCACAAACCAACATGGATCTTCTTAAAATGTTTTATTTTCACTCGCGTAATTGAGTTACTGAAAAATAATTTAGAGAATGATCATGTGTTTATAATCAAGGAATACTATCTCCATCGGTACGGCCTTTTGAAGAAGCCCAAAGCAAAGTCACGAGAGTTTATGTTTAAAGTGGACGGAGAGTCGTGTTCATCTAACATGGTATCAAGGCATAGTAGTATCAGAGTCACGCCCTAACCGACGCTAAAAGGATTTTTATTAAATATAGTATTTTTTTTTTATAAACAATTTGAAAATATATTCACGTGAAAACCATGATTGTTAAACTAATCCCAATAAAAATTAGCTTTAAATTATTAAATTATAATTCAAAATTAAGGACAAAAATATAAAGATTAAATTTAAAATAGAACAAAAAGAATATTTTAAATGATAAATGGAAATGAGAGAGGTAGGATGGTAATTAGAATGAAAGGTGAGGGCATTAAAGTAAATTGGTAAAGATTTTTGTACCGGTTCGGTCGTGCGAGTTTCTTCAGCGACGCATAACGACTTACATTTGATTGTCATGTTCCCTCTCTCCACTGATTCCCATTTCCTCACCCTCAACCAAAATCTAATCATCATCAATTTAATCGGACGGCCAATATTTAATTTCTAATTTTAATTTATTTTAATAATCTAATTACAAATAAAATAATATCAATTTTTGTCACTAAATTTGTAATTTAGTAAAGTTGGAATAAAAATAAATAAACGGATTTTAATGTCTCTTGTATGAATATGCTATTAAATTTGACCCATCATATATTTTTAATAATTTAAAGTTAATTTTTTTTAATAGCCTAAACAACAACAATAATAATAATTTTATACCCAAAATAAATAAATAGCCTATGGAAACCAAACCGAACCAAACCAGATTGGGCCGGTTCAAACGAATTGGAGAAAAACATTTCTGTTAGAAAAACAGTTTTCTCGAGAACCGGTTCGATTTATTAATATTATTTTATTTTTAAATTTATTATCTATTATTGTATTATTATTATTATTATTTTCCTCTCTGGTTTTGGCTCTGTTTTCCCTCCATTTCCAAATCCCCCAAATCTTCCTCCTATAAAATCACTTCGTCTTCTCCATTTCTCATCTCGCTCTCTCTTCCTCTGCGCCTTCTTCGCCGATTCAGGTGAGTTCTTCATTCATCTTTCTACGGATTAATTATCACATTAATGGATGCTACCTTTTCCTCTGTTTAATTATCACTTTCATTAATTAGTATTTCAAGTTATTTGATCTTCTATCACTGAGGTTTTCTTTTTCTATGTTCTCAAACTATTTCGATTTGTACTGAAGTATGTTAATTATGGAAAATATTCTTGATCGATGATTTATTTAACTAGTTTGTTTCTTGAATGATTGCTTTGGATTTTTTTCGTGTTCGTCTTATTTCTGTTTTTGTTTTCTTGTTTTTGTGGAATTGATGGAAGAGAATCCAGAGCTGTTTGTTGGTTGCATGTTTATTTAAGTGCGAGATCGGGAAGAAAATGATCTGTAATCTTTCTTTTTGAAGGTTAGAGATCGGATAATCGAAATGATCTAGTGTTTGAATTCGTGGTTGTATTTGATGTTGCTTCGTTTACTGTTATTGAAGAAATTCGCGGACGTGATTTTTGAGAATTTTGATAAATGCGCACCGTAATTTGCAGTTGAAATGCACAAGAGCACTACTTCTGCGTCTAATACTATTGCTGCTGGGACCACTATGTCATCGTCGTCGCAACTGAAATCGCAGCTTCAAACAAACAACGTTTATGCTTCCCTCTATAATTCCTCAATCTTTGCTCCAAAGCAATCCGTGCCTGTCTCTCTTCCATCGACTCTCTATGGTGACTCTACTCACACGGATTCAATCTCCGCTTCAAAATCGATAAACAACCACCTCTATCAAACCTGCGTCGTTCAAGATCACCAAGAAATGGTTAATCGTCATAGCCTCTGTCTCACTCATCTTCGGGAAGCAACCGAAGAAGCCGATGCTCTTCGACAAGAGAATATTCACCTTAGAAGTATTAACCACGAGCTTAGCAAACACCTGAGTCTCCTGATCCACGCTTCGGTTCAGAAACAGTACGGCTCCTCCGATCAAACTCCTCCGTTTAATTTTGTGGAGGGATTCCGCGGACTCAGTGTCGCAGAGAAAGGGGCAAGCAGTTCGACATGGGAAGATATTTCCGATGAGAGTCCGACGAGCGTAATGGAGGGTGGAAGGGTAGAGGGCGTTGAGGTGGAGAGGTTTTCGCTCCCGAAGAGCATCTCCGTGAGATCCAATGGATACTTGAAGATGGCTCAAGGCGGCAGCAGCCAGGGCGGAAAGGTCCGCGTCTCATCTCGGCCCAGAACTGCAAGTCCTGTCAAGGTTACGGTAATGACACGTTATTTATTTTACAAGATTGCCATTCTCATTCAAGAAAAGTTATGTTTCGTCGAAGTATAATTTAGCGCTTCAATAGTATCTGAATGAATTAATTTTAATCACATTTAGTCACGTGATTACAAATCTGATGGCACTAGGAAGAAGAAAGTCACTAGTTACGTGGGAGGAAAACTGTAGTTAGAACTGAATAAACAAAAATATTACATATACATAAAAGTACATAAAATAACGGAATTGAGAGCAACTTTTTTGGGCTGTGAATTTTTTCGTTTCTTTTTATTGCATATATTGCTTGATTTAAATTTGAAGTTATCCCTTTCTTACTATATTTATTAGACCTTAAATAGAAGCACATGTTGGTAGTTTTAGGTAGTTAAGCACAGTTGAAAGCAGAGAATTTATTACCATTGTGATTTGTCGCCAATCCTATTTATTGTAGTTACTATTGAGACATAGGCTAAATTTATTCCTTTTTCTTTCATCCTTTTTTAAACCGGTGCAGTCAGTTTTTTCTTATTGCAATTATTCGTTTTCTTTTTTCTAGACCCAGTATGCATTGGTCAAGTGTGCACTCGAGTTTGTTTTTGGTTAACATTGAATCACATAGGTTGAATGTGTTAATTTGTTCTTCATCTTTGTATTGCTTAGCAGTCAAGTTTTTTCTTCATGTAGTTTTTTTTAGCACTAATTCAAATTACTTTTGAGTTACAGGTTGAATTTGTTAATTTCAATTTTTCCTTTTGAGCCTTCTTTAAATTTATGTTTATCAACAATTCTACTTGATAGAAAACATGTCTAGTCTGTTACTTAGCAAATTTATTCTCTATATTAAACAGGTTGATTTCGTTTAGAACGGAATCTATCAAAATTGAGAAGGCATGATTTGGAAATAGTCTTCCATTTCTAGATTTAGTCATTGAATTGATTAGAGGTTTGAATTGTTTACTCATGGTTTGAACTCAATAGCATTTATAATTTAGACGAAATGCTGTGTAATACCTACATGCTGGCTAGAGCCTATCTAGACATTGTTGCATTTTCATGACTTTTGATAAGATGGTCAAATTTGATAGAACAAATGGTGTCTTGTTCTGAAAATACAGCAGAAGGTGTACGTTCAAGGAGTGAAAGAAGAGGAAAAGCCACTAGAGCTGGAGGTGTACAACCAGGGCATGTTCAAAACCGAGCTCTGTAACAAATGGCAGGAAACAGGTAGCTGCCCTTATGGAGACCACTGCCAATTCGCCCATGGAATAGAGGAGCTCCGTCCCGTCATCCGCCACCCCCGGTACAAGACGGAGGTCTGCCGTATGGTCCTTGCCGGAGTCGTCTGCCCTTACGGTCACCGCTGCCACTTCCGCCATGCTCTCACTGACCAGGAAAGGCTCATGGGGCCGCTCAAGCCCACCTGCAGGACCGCCCCCAAGCTCGACAGGTGAATATTGTTTTCTTACCAAACTGATCCATAATTGAACATATAAGAATAATGATTTGTTTGTTTGTAAGCCTCAAATGAGAGAGGTAAATAATATCCCATATAAGTAAAAAAAGACAAAGTAAGAACAAATATATAAATCCATTAGAGACAAGTTAGTTTGGTCTGGTAGATATTGAGGCCTCGATGATGGGGAGAGTGTAGGAAGAGAAAGAGTCATGCCCTTGTGCTACATTTTGCTGTTATTTTTTGTTCTTCCAAACTCCCAAGTTTGAAAGTCTGTAGCTGCTGATTGCTATGCCTTTAAGCAGAGCACATACTGTATGTAAAGGCCATACATACCCTTTCCGAGGATACTCTGTTGATTTCATTGGTTGCTATGTGCATTTTAGGAATGATAATTGAATCACTTTTTGGGAAGTGCTTCAGACTAAAAATCATAATTTAAATTTTGCTTTCCACTTTTTACCAATATTTTTAAAAAGCTAAGTCAAAATTTTAATACAAAAAAAAAAAAAAAAAAAAAAAAAAAAAAAAAAAAAAAAAAAAAAAAAAAAAAAAA